CAACCACCAGGCCAGGGTCGTGGGGAAGAGGCTCTTGTCCTCATTGACTTGAGGACAAAGTGCTTTTATTTATTTTAACGTTTAACAACCTAAATTAATTCCAAATGACATTCGTAAAAAAAAATTTGGATCCATCTGAAATGTTCGAATATGCAGAAATTCGACCGAGTTTCAATGCAGAACTAAATGAATCTTACATGTCTAGTTTTGTTATGCTTGCTGAATTTGCTGCAGAGACATACTTGTGATCTTTAGTTGCCATTGTGCTGTGCAGGACTTCTGAGTGTGACTGAGCTACTTCCAGGCAAGTCTGCCCTCAACTTATTTATTGTTATATGTCCCAAGATGGGAGCTTTGTTAAACTAGAATTAGGCTCTTTTCACACTGCATTGTGATCAGGTCCGCCTGTCAGTTTTTCAGACGTATCTAAATGGAAGCCCGATGTTAGTCTATGGGCAGCCGGATCTAAATGGCCATGCATCCTTTTAAAACCGATTACCCTGACTCTGGCCAGGTCTGGAAAACAAAACAGATCAGTGTTTCCTTTTGGCACACCTGATCCGATTCCCCATAGACCAACAAGGGTTTGGTAAATTCAGGAAAAAACTGGACGGACATGTATGTAACAGTGACATCCATTTACGATCAGCAGGGGATCCGTGCATGGATCCTCTGCTGATGGGAATAGGTGTCCCTCTTTCTCATTCCAGGATGTTGGGAGGTATGCTTTTCTTGCACTGTAGATAACTCCAGTTAAGAGTAAGGGTGCTACATGCTGGGTGGGAAGGAAGTTCTACGTAGGCAATTGAAGGAAAAAATAGATGTTTTGGCTCTTGGGAGAAAATGGAATTCCACCATGTGAGCAATAAGCGGATTTACCCTCTCCTGGAGGGAACACCAGGACAGGCACATGTTAGCCCAGGTATTCTTGGCTTCTAGAGAGATTGTAGAGAGAGAGACTTCCCAAAGAGACTAGAAGGTTTACATCAACCTAAGACCATCAATGTAGATGTTGCTCTACTTGGTACCTGTCCCCCAGGTCATGGGCTATTTGCCTGCATTTAAGAAGGTAATAAGTCTACAGCAAGAAGAGAGGTCTTTATGTCACTTTTATCCAGCAGCACTGTAAGGGCTTGTGTCAGTGGGCTTTTGTTCCTGTCAAAAGCGTTTTGCCTTCCCATACAAGTCTATGGAAGCACAAAACCCACTTGAAGCAGATTAAATGTGGGTCACACATAGGTCAACTAAAATAGATGAGCACATGTCTAGACTCCAGAACAGTGTATTATTGTATAGTGTGGATACACACTCTGCATACCTGGCTTTATATTATAAAGTTCTTATAATATAAAGCCAGGTATGCAGAATTGGATATAGCTGTGCCACACTATACAGTGTTCTGGTCTGGAGTCTGGATATGTGCTCATCTAGTTAGCAATGGCATGATAAATATTCATTTCATGTTCATTTCATGTTCTTCATAATATTAAGAAACTGACCTAAAATCATGATTTTGTATTGCTTTAGAAAAAATGTGACCTGTCCCTTTAAGAAAAAGTATCGGCAATTGGTATCGGCGAGTACTTGAAAAAAAGTATCGGTACTCGTACTCGGTCCAAAAAAATTGGAGCATCCCTAATGATAATAATGATACTGTTATTAAACTTATATCATTTCAGGTTTTCATCATTTGTTAGTTCTTTATGTTTTGTTTTGAATATTTTTGTTAGAACTTTATGTTCTAGATTTTTCTGTTTTGAAACTCCAGTGTTTCAGCCCCATCATTAAATTAGGGTGTGTCTATCATTTAACCAGAATAAAGTGCAAAAATATTTGCAATGCAAGTAGACTTAAGCGTTATGGTAGGTGGAGCTCTGCTGTGGATCATTAGCTTTTCTCTCTAACAGTGCTTCCAAAAACAAAATATAGGCGGACAGAAAACTTTGTTTAGGGCTTGACCGGTTGCTCACTGTTTGTGTATTTTAGTCCCACACTCTGTAGCTGTAGGCCCATACTGTGAAGCTGTAGTCCTGGTGCTAAATTATATTTTGTAATGGATGGTAGGAAAGACTGGTACCACCAACCACACCTTGCTCTTTGCCATTTGATAGTGCAGCCATAACAAGAGGCAAACAGTATTGAGGCACGAAGGAGTAGATGAGACCATAAAAATTTCCTTTTCAAAAACACCACCACATCCTTTAATGGGAGATCCAAGCATATACTCCTTCAGTCTCCTTCGTTATTACATTATGTTTATTTCTATGGTATATGTGCTCTTTAGACTTCACCCCTGATCCAGCCAAACTACGCCAGCTCTACACAGACCCATCCATACTACTAGTATTCTAGTCTTTAGATCCCTGGTGCCCAACCTGCACCCCTTTGGTACTTATTGTGTGGCTCTTAAACTCCAGCAGCCAATAGTTAGTATTTTTCCTGTCAAGGTGCTTACTCAGTACAGCGAAAGAAAAATATTGCTTTATTTCTTTCACACGTTTTTTTTCTGTGCTGTTTTTATTATTCTCTTTTTATGTATATTCTTCTCTGAACTTTTAAAATAAATCTTACTGTGGGTAAATTCAGATATGGTTACAGTAATTTGTAAGGGGGCTGTAAGGAGTATATATGTGAAAACGCTGTTTTGCAAAGGGGTTTAAATGACAGCAATCTCTGACAGTATCATGCAGCATATTGTATATAGTCTCTGACCATCTTCTGTAGCATGTATGTAGTCTCTGACCATCTCTTGTAGCATGTATGTAGTCTCTGACCATCTCTTGTAGCATGTATGTATTCTCTGATCATCTCCTGTAGCATATATTTAGTCCCTGACCATCTACTGTAGCATGTCCACAGCTTGTGACATTTTATTGTACTACCTTCACAGTCTGAAACAGTTTTTTTCTATAGCATTATATACACTGAACCTATGTGTGGCCCATTGGTGAAGTAAGGAGCCGGACTTGACGAACTCTGTATGTAATAAGTTTACCACCACTGCTTTAGACCTATTCATTTTATTATCCGAATCATTTTTGATTAAACTTACTGAACACCAAAAATGATATTTTTACCCAAAATAATTTTATTGTTGCTGTTGCTTCTGATACAAAAAAAACACAGTTACAAAGACTTGTACAAAATTATCATATGTGCCTAACAACAAACATAAAAACAAATACAGCACACTGTTTGAAATGCAGTATAAAAAAATGCATCAGACCACATTGGAAAGAAAGAGAAATAATATCCCCCCTCCAGAAATAACACTTTTGGCTCAACACAAGACTGGAAAAAAAAAGATTTTCACAATGACATGATTTTCTGTAGCACCGTATAAAAACAGTTTTATTTCACAACATCTCGCATTTTGCAAAGCTAGCATCTTTTTCAAGTTTATGATTTTATTTCGCCAACAATTACAGTATTCACACATATTACCAAAAAGTGGCTGTTCATGGAAAATGGAAATTAAAAAAAAAATAACAAAACTAAAACATCATGTATCAAATACAATATATTTACTACAAGAATATGAAATTACAAAAAAAAATGAGCAACAGTTTACAGTTGTGGTTATACATAAATATTTTTTCTTTAAAAAAAAAGGACATACAGTGCAGTAACCGAGCTATTTGAAGCACTGGATGGGTAAAGCACCATTGTGGGATGGATACAGTATAGTGTCAGGTAGTAGTGTGTGTATTTCATACCGTAATCTATAATAGCGCCATCCTTTCTCCAATCTTCTTATTACATTTTATTTAAAAGATAACGAAAGAACTCAGATTATGAAGTTGTTGCCAGCAAAAGAATAATGACAAGCAATGTCCTTTTTACAATAGTCGGTTCCCCTATTTAAACAATAAAATTGTAACGATGTTTGAGGAAAGTGATGAGCAAGCTGGCACAATGGGTTCCTATCTAGATTTAAAGTATCCCTTTCCTTTTCCAATGTTTACAGTAACAATTGGCAACTATGAATGATTCAGCTTATAAACAACTCACTGGTATGTAATCAGTGATCAAAATCTGCTCCAGTCTGTTCCCCGAGACCCAGTTATTCCTTTGTTGGGTGCTGCCATCTTGCTTTTCACAATGCATAGAGAAGGTGAAGCCAGGCTGTTTAGAACAGCTTGCATTTTAAAGCTGTTCTGGCTCTTTCTGTGACAATCATATGTCACAGATTTCAATCATATATCAGTGGGCCATATGCTATGGGCGTATACTAATGGACAATAATACTAATATACAAAATGTGCATATCATGATGTAGCAACATTGTAGTCTACTTGACTTGTACATTTAGGGGAAATAATGGGTGCATCTGAAATAGCGATTTGAGCAGAATAGAAGCAGAATGATAGAAGATACCACTATGTTTACATGCTTGGGGAATGGAAAACAAACTCTTAGACCACACCACCTTATTTTTAGTGCTACTATCAGACACGTTTTTCTACTCCAAAATAAGTTTCTGTCAGTTCCATGCTGGCACAGAAAGCTAAGCATACAACACTACATTATACTGTATTATGTGTACCACCTCTTTGCAACCTGAGGTAAGAGGCCTACAGTAAATTGATCCAAGGAGGCAGTTTATTGGCTATGCCTCTGACAAATTTAAATATGGTTTGAATGAACTTGGCAATAATACTTAGAGGGATTCTTCCAGAACAAGAAAATAGTGTTTAGAGTGTCATTAAATATCATAAACCTTCAAAGCACTATTTGTATCCAACTATATTAAACATGGAATATATATTCTGCAGTTTATAAATTAACATTACAATGCTATTACCTATCACTTATTTTTTTTACTTTTTTCCCCATATAAAACAAAGCAAGGCTTTTGCATGAAACATAAGTGATGTGCCTGGTTCATGTGCCTTGCTCGTACAGAAGCTGTGCACTCCGAGTGGTCCCAAGAAGAAAATTGACTGTTTATTCCTTTGTGGTGGGAAGATTTGTTTTAATCATAAACTACAATGTGCAGGATCAGCAGCATAAAGGCTATGCATGATGACAACAGAGAGCCCAAACTGCAAATAAAATGGTTTATATCAACTCTCATCTCTGGCTGCCTACACTTGCTAGTAGCAGTAATGATGCTGTAATTACAGTACAAATATTCAAATCTTTTAAACAAAAAGAATAAAAATACAAAAACATTCATTATATTAATCTGGGAATTCCAGTGACCACTCTTACAGTACACTATGTATTTTGAACTTCTTTTAGAAGCACCATATACACAGTATTGTAGCACTTAGGTATAAAAAGCTTCTGCTGCAACACTGCTGTATTCTCAAGGCCACTTGTAAGGCACTTTAAGGCACTAGAGTCCTTTCTGTCATTGGCATCCATGTTAGAGCTTTTGGTAAAAAAAAAAGGAAAGGCATTTGGAGAATTTGCCCTCCATCTGCTTGTACAAATCCGTAACTTTGCTCAGGGCATCTGATGCATCATATCCATTGAACACTCTGCCCTCCTGTCACTCTTACCCCTCCCATTTTTTACATAACAAAAATACTATGAAAATAATCCTAAAATACATATGGACATTGGTCACAGCTGAACTCATATTCCACATTTCCCATCAATTTTATGCCTTAGTGCTGAGGTTCTGACACAAAAGCTTGCTAATTAAAGAGAAGACAGAAGAAGACTTTCTCTATAAATTTAAGTTCAAATCTTGTGAAGGCCACGTAAGAATTGTTTCTGATCTTAATAAAGTTGGATCTGAAGTTTCATCTTGAGTGTTTGGCCTATTTCCCCATTGAGGTAGTTGAAGTCTTTCTCATCCTCTAATTTCTGCAGTTCCTTCTTGCGGTATAGAGGCACGCTGGTAATCTCCAGGTTATACAAACCTGGAGTTACCTTTTTGCGGCCAAGATGCAAGAAACTTTGACCCTCCTTCTGATGAATGCGAAAGTTGTTATCCTCGTTACCCTGAGAGATGACATAGCGTACATGGTTGATCAGTGGCTGGACCGCTGGCATTAAATCCATGATATGTTCTTTGTTTGTCAAATGGGACATGTTGAAGTTCATCTTAATTGGTCCATCGATGTCAAGGCTAGCCATGCTGTGAGTCTAAGGAAAAATCAAACACACACATATAAGCAGATATATACAAAACTAAAAAAAAGGGGAGAGGGCAGAAGCACTACAAAACTGTTTGAGACATCAGTGACATTGAGAGTGGATGCAGTGGGTAATGACGACGGGAACATAAAAAATATGCCTAAGGGACTTGATTGAAGTTTCTTTAGGTGTACCTCATAAGCACAAGATCCACAAGTGGTTAAGCTGTAAAACACCTATGGGGTTTAAAGTATAAATTTAGCCATGCAACATATGTATGCAGTTTGGGCTAACTGAAATGCCTGAGGTCAAATAAAGTGCTGAGACTTTTCTAAATCTATCTTGATTTACACCTCTCTTTACTTACGTACGTACATAGGTTCTCTTCTTACATACATCAAAATCATTTATAGCTTTGAGCAGCAAGCCCTACCCTATGCAGGAATGCAATTTATGTTTATCTAGGCAGACTGAGGTTATCCATCTAATATACAGTACTCGAGAACTACATTATTTCTCAAAAGAAAAAGTCTATGTGCATTAAACTGCCCAAGAAGCATAGGGTAATATCTAACACTGCAAATTTTAGCATAGCTTAGGGGTCTAAAGCACAGTCCCACTTTTAGATAAAGTTAGGTTGTCTTCTTTCTTTAGGGGAAATGATGATCTCACCTAACCTTACAGTCATTGGGATGTTATAGTAGAGTGTTTGGTTTACTTGTTGTAATTGAGGGTTAATGCTTATAAGCAGTTCCTGATAATATCACATTTTATGTATATTCATAAATGAGTTAATAGTGCACAACTTGAGAGTTGGAGCCAGGGATTATGCTTTATTTTCCGCACTAGTTTATCTCTTACCTCATGTTCAGAGGTGGAATTTGTGCTGCGTCGCTGCCTTCCTCTCTTTGGATACCCGTTGACCTTGCACTCGTAGCAGTTTTCAGGGGACAAGATGTTTTCTTCATCTTCTTCCACAGGAGCTGGTAGATAAGAACCTTTGCCAAATCCTAAGCCAGACACACAATGCCTGCAATACAACAACATGCATATATCAAGAGAAGCCACCTGATCAAAGGAAGACTATCAGGAGAGTAAGAAAGACTTCAGAAAATGCTACCTCTGTGGTTGTTATACCGGCCCCCTGGCTTCAATGTCCTGTCAGTCACTGAACTGACACAAGCATACAGATTAAGAAAGTCAGATATGCATATTGTTTTCCAGGTAACTGAATCAGCATGACACACAGGCAACCAATGCAGTGAACACTCTGTAGTACACCACAAGCACCACAAATTCAGAATCATATGAATTATTGGCAATATGGAGGTGCAGTGTGGAGCGAACACTGTGTCAAATTAAACCCTGAGGAGTATGTCTGTCTGTGAATAAAAATTTCCGGGAAAAAAATCTTTACTCATGCTTACCCTTGGCCAGCTCGGAAATATCCTCCAGGACATCCACAAAGATAGCCACCATCAGTGTTGGAACAACCATAACTACAAGGGCTTGCCCCAGATGAACATTCATCAACATCCTGGCACCCTCCAAAAGACTGCTCAAAATCAAATCCAGAAGGACATATGCACTTGAAGCTTCCCAAAGTGTTGTAGCAGGAGGCGGAACCACAAGTGGACTGGCTGGAACATTCATTCTCATCTAGGAAGAAAACCAAGAATACTTCTGAGTATGAACTTAGGTAGGAAAACAATGCTGTCACTGCAATGGTTTGGTAAACTGACCCCTCAGGAGCGAAGGCAAAGTTGGGGTGATGCACAGTTAAACTTTTTCTTTCTTCTGGAGGTTAGGAATGCAATTGCTTGTTTCAACAGCACCAGTATTTTGTCATTCTTCTATATTTTAATTATAAAATCCAAACTGGCAATCTAGTAACATGCCCCATCTGGTATTTTCACAAACAACCAGCTAAATTAGGACCCCACCTGGAGCTCCTCCCACCGGACCAGAGCTGACTCGCCGCTGCTCTCCCGTGCCGAAGGTAAGTGGAAAAAAAAAAACATAGCACAAACATCAGGGCATTTTGACAAGTACAAGTACTTGTCAAAATGCCCTGTTTTTACAGGGGTCGGGGTCAGGGAGGGGGGAGGGAGGGGGGGGGCGCAAAAATGCACCTTGCCTGTGTAGGCAAGAATCCTAGCACCGGCCCTGGAGCTTACATGTGTGTTTTGTTTTCAAACAAAAAATGCATGAGCTTAGAAAAATGGCAGGCTGCTTCTTGTATCTACTCACCAACACACTGGTTCCACTGATAGTGCTGAACATAGCCCTGTGGGCAGCCACAGCGATATCCTCCTAGGACATTCTGGCAGCCATGTTGACAACGGTGGTTGCTATCACACTCATCCACATCTGAAAAATAAATTATTAACTGCTGCTTAGCTCACTGTGGTGCAATATAAATTTTTCTCATTGTGCCATTGAAAAATTAATACAAAGTCCTGTAGTCTAGCACTATCTTCTCTTACCTTCACAGTTGCTGCCAGCGTTATCTAGTGTAAAACCTTTCTGGCACTCACAGGTGTAGCTACCAGGGCTGTTTTGGCACATACCACGGGAGCCGCACAAGGATGGTTGAGCACTGCACTCATTGTTATCTAGTAAGAATAAAATACATTTTACGTCATTTAGAATATTTACCAACTACAGGTATTCATATTGGTATCTGTTATTATATAATAGTACAAGTATGGAGTTTCTTTCGTCAAAAGGATTTTTATTAATTTTAGGTGCATAAACAAGTAAGCACGTGTACATATCAAGTGTCGGTCTTAGGAAACAGTACATGTATTATGCACAGTAAAATAAGATTATATTAGTATCAATGGACCATTGAAGTCCAAAGAAACAGCAAGTACTCAGCATAAATATAAGCAACCCAGTAGCATGGACATTGTGTTTGAGTTGTCTGGTTCTTGAGGGGGGGGAGGAAACTTAGCAAGTAAAGAGGAAAAAGAGAGGGGGAGAGAGAGAGAGGGGGGGGGTATGAGGG